CCTCTGAGACTCCAAAAGCAGCTTATGGGTACCGGCGGGCGAAGCGGCTTGCGGCTCTGGTGGTTGCTGAGGCAAAAACTTGGGCGTGGGACGAGTTCGGAGAGACCATGGCTTCGAGGCGATTCTGGTCCACCATCCGGCGTCTCAGGAGGGGGAAGCAGTGTAGCACCAACACTGTTTACAGTGGGGGTGGTGTGCTGTTGACCTCAACTCGGGACGTTGTGGGTCGGTGGGCGGAGTACTTCGAAGACCTCCTCAATCCCACCAACATGCCTTCCATTGAGGAAGCTGAGCTTGGGGACTCTGGGTTGGGCTCTCCAATCTCTGGGGACGAGGTCGCCGAGGTAGTTAAAAAGCTCCTCCGTGGCAGGGCCCCGGGGGTGGATGAGATTCGCCCGGAGTATCTTGAGGCTCTGGATGTTGTAGGGTTGTGTTGATTAACGCGACTCTGCAATATCGCATGGACATCGGGGGCAGTTCCCCTGGATTGGCAGACTGGGGTGGTGGTCCCCCTGTTTAAAAAGGGGGATTGGAGGGTGTGCTCCAATTATAGAGGGATCACACTCTTAAGCCTCCCTGGCAAGGTCTATTAAGGGGGTACTGGAGAGGAGGGTCCGTCGGATAGTCAAACCTCGGATTTTGGAAGAGCAGTGTGGTTTTCGTCCTGGTCGTGGAACACTGGACCAACTCTACACCCTCAGCAGGGTCCTGGAGGGTGCATAGGAGTTCGCCAAACCAGTCTACATGTGCTTTGTGGACTTGGAGAAGGCATTCGACCGTGTCCCTCAGGGTGCCCTGTGGGGGGTTCTCCAGGAGTATGGGGTTCTGGGCCCTTTGATACGGGCTGTCAGGTCCCTGTATGACCGGTGTCAGAGTCTGGTCCGCATTGCCGGCAATAAGTTGGGCTTGTTCCCAGTGAGGGTTGGACTCTGCCAGGGCTGCCCTTTGTCACTTTGTTCATTACTTTTATGGACAGAATTTCTAGGCACAGCCAGGGTGTTGAGGGGATCCGTTTTGGTGGCCTTAGGATTGCATCTCTGCTTTTTGCGGATGATGTGGTCCTATTGGCTTCATCGAGACGTGATCTGCAGCTCTTGTTGGAGCGGTTCGCAGCCGAGTGTGAAGCGGCCGGGATGAGGATCAGTGCCTCCAAGTCCAAGACCATGGTCTTGAGTCGGAAAAGGGTAAAGTGCCTTCTCCGGGTCGAGGGAGATGTCCTGCCCCAAGTGGAGGAGTTCAAGTATCTCGGGATCTTGTTCACGAATGAGGGAAGAAGGGAGCGGGAGATCGACAGGCGGATTGGTTCGGCATCTGCCGTGAAGCGGGCGCTGTACCGGTCCGTCGTGGTGAAGAGAGACAAATATTTTCTTGCTTTCTGGCCCTAATATTGACATTCGTCCTTCTTCCTCGGATGTACAAAGACTGAAGAACCATGGATTAGGTGGGCATATTTTTTAAAAAAATACATTATTTGAGACACCCTTATAATGTGACAGAAGGAGGCACTTTTGCTTTTAACATCTCCATTTGGGTTTTAAGTTACCACTTTATCATAATTTTACCCTTTCACCAGAGTCACCCTACGGAGAAAACCCATTTCGGCCGCTTGTATTCGTGATCTCGTCCTTTCGGTCATTACCCAAAGCTCATGACCATAGATGAGGCTAGGAACGTAGATCGACCGGTAAATCGAGAGCCTCGCTTTTTGACTCAGCTCTCTCTTCACCACGACGGACTGGTACAGCGCCCGCTTCACGGCGGACGCTGCACCAATCCGCCTGTCGATCTCCCGCTGCCTTCTTCCCTCATTCGTGAATAAGATCCCGAGATACTTGAACTCCTCCTCTTGGGGCAGGACATCTCCCTCGACCCGGAGAAGGCACTCTACCCTTTTCCGACTCAAGAATGGTTTGGCTTCAAAATGTTAATTGATTCATATTTACTCACAAAAAATGCATTGTGATCAGCAATATAACAAGATTGAGGAGGAACAAGAACAGACATGCAACACATTTTCTTCCATGTCTTTAAGAGTACACACTCGATATCTTATAATAAAGGTAATAATTTTACACTGCTCATTTGGATTAAAAACAAAATCAAATTCTAAAGAAGCTCAGAGGGTCCAAAAGATGTGTTTGAAAAGGGGGTTGAATTCTACAAAGAACATTTTTAGAAGTAGAATTTTTATTGTTCTTTCCCTTTCCACAATGTACATTTGATTAGTCATGTCTTTAAACACCTTAACATTTTATAATTAAATTTGTAAGGTTACCTACTCATGTCAATTCTGAGTTTTATTTGTAGTAATTGTATCTTTAGAACAATGCATTTGATCAAATGTTCTTGATGTTTGTCACTCCTCAAACAGTGAAATTTACTTAAATCAATAAAGCAATTTCTGCACAACAGGCCTGGTATTTCTCCTTCAGATCAGAAATGTGATTGACTGCAAGATTAACTGATTGAAGTTGCTGCTGACTGAGCCTGGTTTGGGGTGGTTCTACAACTACACTAGGCACCTCTTCAGCAACACTGGTTGGAAGTGGCCAAAGGCCATGCTGTTGCAGAAGTTCTTCAAGCATCTCTGGTGCGCTGGAATTTTCACCAAACACGTTGTTGGTTGCTGTGCTGTTGGCACCCATGTTTGCTAACATCCGTTCAGTCCAGATTTGTGTTGGTGTTTTGTTGTTTTCTGTATGCAAGGAATGTTGGTTCCATGCCTTTCTGAATTGTTCTAGTCGGCTTTGAATCTCAGTAAGAAAAACTACGTGAAGAGAAAGTTTGTGCACGTCGTTGCTGGGATCCAATAGGGCTGAATCTTCAAGATTGTAAAACGTACTATAAAATGGTTCCAGAACATGTAAAAACGCATCCCTCCAAAGACGCTCAATTCTCTGATTATGGATTGAAGTTGTCTGATATTAGTTTCAAGGTCTTCATCAGTCACAGCAGCCAACCTTCCCCTGATTGTTACATCCAAGTGCTTTGGACTTCTCATAAAGAAATGATGTTGAGCATCCAAAGATGTTTGCCATCCTCTTGACCGTGTGTCCTTGGGCCAAAAGAAAGTCAATCTGCTCTCTTGTAATACGCATAGCTGCTCTACCTCGACCACCTAAAATAGAATCATATTTAAATACCTCAGCACAATGTTTACTTTATACATCTATTTTTCTCTATCTATCTGTCTATATCTGTCGATCCTCTAGAGGTGTCCCTGTGTCTCCTAAGGGTTACATTATGCATTTCACACAATGTATAAATGTATTTTGATATATATAATTCCCTGTTGCAAATGCATGAACACAAAGCTTTAAACTTTTATAGACGCTAGAAAGCAACTTAAAGTGTGAATCAGACATGAACCAGAGGTGCGCTTTTATTTACAGAGGATGCTATAATGCCTTGCATGCCAAAATCAAGAGCTGGCTGGCTTTACTATAATTTCCGAAGAGGCAGACAGCTTTACCACATTATAAAAACTACATCTGGTTATGACCTGAACTGGCCCGAATACTGTATTTCCCATTTTCAGCTTGGACATGGGTCTATAGCAGCACTTTCAGCTCCTCTAAGCCGTTTTTCAGGGCGTTGTGTGTCGGCAGAAAGTAAATCAGAAATTCTTTGCAAATTTCTTAAACATTCTTCAAGTACACGATTCTCGCGCTCTCCGCATACCCCATACTGAAGAGATCTTTCTATATTGTGGCATTTTCTCACAATTTTGTCTAAAACTGCCAGCGCCATTGGAAGTTCAGACAATTATTTGGACAGCTCAGTCCAGCTAAAGAGGGGCTTACACGTACTCTCTTACTTAAGATATCTAAAATTGTAATTCTGACTAGTCATAATTACGTTCGAGATATCTTAAATTATAATTACGGATGTATGACCCTTCCAATGATGAATCCGGTGACGTCATTTGAGATATCTTGAAAGGAATTTTGACTAGTCAAAATGTAATTGAAGATATCTTGAATTATAATTCTTACTAGTCAGAATGTAAGTGCAGATATCTTAAATTACCATTCCGGATAGTCAAAATGTAGTTTTGTCTAGTCAAAATACATTTTCAGATATCTGGAATGTAATTACGGATAGTCAGACGGAACCGAATTCATGTTAAAACGGCTTGCCATAAATAACCATAAGAAAGGCTTACAATATGCATTTATGCAAAATAAACTGATCAGTATTGCGAGGGAACGCAAAAGTTTTTCGAGGTAACGTACAAAAAAAACAACAAAAAAAAAAACATTCCCCGTGTCCCCTGGAGGGCCCCCTACGTAAAAACACAGTATAATAGATTTATTATTGTACTTATATAAATGTGAAGTTATTAATTCGGCAGTTCATTCTTTATATTTTTTTAATTCTAAAAATATTTTTCTTATGTTGAAGATCATAAGTACAACGTGTCAAACATTTTATGTTCAACACCTATACAAACGTTTTATTGCTTCTGTGTTGAAGCAATAAAATGTTGAAGATGTTCAAAAGAATATCTTAAAGAAGGATACTAGTAAAGGATCTCTTTCATTAGTTTTTTATTGAGACTGACTTTATTTGAGAGAAGTTAGATAGGAAAGCGCGTAATGAAAGGGAAAATGTGCAGCTCAGGTCATCATGCGTGGGTGGAACTGGTGGCTGTTATGATGCTAGAGTTCAGTGACAAAATGAGGTTATAAAACTACATAAATAAGTAAGAAAGCACACAACAAATAAATACAATTTCTTAGTCATAATTTTTATTTGTTGTCTGAAGGTTTCTCATTCAACTGAATGTATTATTTTTTTCCAAACTTATATATATATATATATATATATATATATATATATATATATATATATATATATATATATATATATATATATATATATATATATATATATATATATATATATATATATATATATTATCTTAAGTTTTTTTTTTTCATCCTATTCTTTAAAAGGCTAGTTGATCAAGTAAATCAGCATTCAGTCAGAACTTGGTGTTTTCTTTTACAGCATAGCGTTTTTTTTTTTTTTTTTTTAATATAAGTCTTTTCAACATGTGTATTCATTTCTACATGTTTAAAAATAGAAAATGTAAATACCAGGCTTGACATTCCATCAAAATACATTGTGTACAGTGGAAGATACTTAGTACCTTTTTTTTCTCTTGAGTGTTTTGACAATATACTCAGATTCAGCATCTTTATTGCATAAACTCATTCATTGGTTGAAGGAAGTCTCTCGTCATTTATTTTCTGTCTCTTTATTGTGATTACAAAATCAACAGGGCGAATATCCAATTTATATTTGATTAAAAATTTCTAATAGCATTGCTGTCAAAACAAGGAGGAGGAAACAGGTAAAAAATACCATGACTACGTCAAGTTGTATTCTGAAAGTCAGTGCTTTAAGTTGGCCAGTATGGATTGGTGCACATTTTTAAATGTTACCCCACTGTGGAGTGGGAATTTTGGAAACGTTAATTGAGTCTTAGTTTTTCCATTGGTAGTATAAATCTCATATGCCACGTAACAGTAAAAACTCAAATCTTTAACTTCTGTATGTCTTTAAGAAGCTTTTATTTTATATCTTTAATTTGTTTATGTCCATGTTAAAACCATCAGGCATTAAGTTAATAAAAGTGGCTCCATGACACTGAAATTTGTATCTTTCTCATTTCTGTTCAATAATACTTTTGATCTATATGTGAATAGACAGATCTACATAGCAGCATGTCTTTTGTTCCACTTAAAGCACTGCTGAAAACTGAAACATATATCTGCTCCATTTCAATCTGCTGTTAAAATCTCCACAAAACTTGTGAAGCTCAATCCATTTGCACACTTTTCTCTGACACTGTGTACTCCTGTTAATCTATAAAATTGCTTTCTCCTCTGACAGCAAAAAGAAGAAGAAACAACTTTTTCATTAGCAGAGGAAAGACTTCCTTTCAAAAGAACATGTACATTGAGGTCAGTTTAGTCGGTGTCCTGCACATGCATTTGGAATGAATCTAAAACAGTTTGTAGAAAATAAGTTCAAATTTAGCAACTTATTCCTCAGGAGCAAGAGACAGAGACAGGGGATGAGGTCAAAAGTTTGGCCTTTCCTTCACCCTGTAGTCATATAGAAGAGAGATTACTGCGCAAACTCATTGCAAATTTTAAAACTAAAAGACCATTTTATCACAGATATGTTGAATGAACAATGACAATCAACCTATGATTTGGAAATTCTGAGTCTAAATGAACAGTGATCACTTAATATATTAGATTATTATCAGGATGTCAGAGAGCTTGCCTGGGTCACACACACTATATGGCAGCTTCACCACATTTCTTCAGAAAACCAAACATAAAGTAAATTCACTTGAAGTGAGGAATAAACTATAAAAAATACTTTACAGTGATTTGGAAATAATGGAGTTCCATTATTTAAATGTTTTTCCATTATCATAATTATAATCAAACATATTTAATAGGTTACTTCAAAGTAAAAGCTCATGGCTTAGCTAAGTCAACCCAATGGTTACTTCCTGTTTCTGCACAAACGTACACTTTAACGCACATAAAACAAAACACAAATAAGTCTTACACATTAAGCAGAAATGTAAAATATTCTCTAAATGAAAGTTGGACAAAATAGATGCATAATGAGAAATTTGTAAACAAACTTGCTGTTCTGAAATCTGCCTTCCTTTTACATCCCCTGATATGGCAGATGGTGAGGCTCTTTTTACAACCAACTGAGTTTCAAAAGATTTTATCTTCTGAAACTTTGAAAAAACTTTTTGACAAAAAACAATAAATGAAGCTAGGGCTGGCTGCACTCGTAAGTCGCTACAATCTGAAATTCTTCCACTTTACTGAACTGGCCAAGACATTTGTGACACATGACCAGGTGTTTCTTGGAAAGCAATAACCAAAAGCTAAACTTAGTTCTTGCATAGGCTTTTAAGTATGTTCAGTGCATGCTTTTGTTTCAAAGTCTTTATAGATGCACTTATCGTTCTATTTGTGATCACAGTTTTAAAATTACATGCAACAAAATGATGTCACCGATGTTCAGATGTTTTTCTGCTTGAAGCAAATACAGAACAGTATTGTGAGATGAAAACATTTCCTTGATACATTTAACATAAGGGGTTGGAACTTCCTTTTAGATTCTTTCAAAGGTGAAGCACATTGGAGCGGTCTGAAGGGGCAGCTCGATACAGTTTCCACTGAAATATCTACCTCAAGACTTCAAGTAAAGTTGGACGGATCCAGATCAACAGTTTGAAATAATCAGAATATTCATCTGAAGTTAGCGTCAATGATCTTGAAAATATATACAGCAGCATAATAATATTTCACATTGTATGTCTGATTTTTATACAAAATATTCCTGAGAGAGTTGTTCTCTGTTGATTTAGTTAATATGCCATCTGTTATAACCTCCACATAATACAAAGAAATATGCAAATATAATGGCAAAAATAAAATAACAACAAAACCAATCTTTTATCACTTCATTTAGTAATACTTGTTGTGAAGCAAGTAAATGTTAGTTTATTTTTAGCAGATATGACATAGTTTCAATTTTGCAAACCTTCATGCAACTCCAGTTTCCAAACTTGAATTATTCCAGTGTCTTTATGAAACTCAATGTTTCATCTTGCTTGCAGAGGCATGAGCAGGTTTGTAGTTATTCAAATACACAAAGGTCACAAATGACTGTTTTCTTATTATTTACCCAACCAAAATCAACCCTGATTTAAATATTTTAAGCAGAGATTTTTTTAAATAAACTTTAATTGCAAAACATTAGGAAATACTTTTATAGCAAGTTTACCAAAAGTACTAGAATTCTAGAAAGACTTCTATAGCCCTTAGCAACGAAATATTTAACATAATTTCTTGTGTATTACGGTTGAGGGATTTTTAATCATTATTTACTTAACATCCTTAGAGGAAAACAAGAAGCTGGGGAGGAACATTTTGGTAAGATGTTTTGAAAATGTATCTGGTGCAAAATAAAAGGCATACACATGATAAAAGACCAAAGAGGGGAAAAAAAAAAACTTGGACAATTTTCAGGCTCCAGGTCAATTTACCCCTTTGCCAATTTATACCTCAATCCATACACATGAGCTGCCATTTTGCCCCAACTCAGTCACCTGACATACCATTCAGCACACCATCTCATTTACACAACCATTGGGTCTCAGGTTATACTTCTTAGGTAGTTAACTGTTATGGTGAATTAGAAAGAGAATTTTATATTTATTTGAATGTATTTGTCGATTTTCCGAGGACTTAAAGTAAAACCCTGTTTCCATCAAACCTAGTTCTGATCCCCATTTGGGCTTGCTGAGTGAAGTATCATTATGCTTCAATATTTTGATCAAATCAAAATAGATTGCTTCATGCGAAAGATAATTGCATTTTCTTACAGTAGATTAGGACTAGTCTTTGACTAAAGTAGACATGAATAATAGTCCCATGATGGGTAGACAAGAATGCTTAGTATAAAAGTACACATTATCTAAAGGCAAAAAGATGAGTAGCCCTGCACCCTCATTGTTGACATGGACTCTCTATTTCACTTTAAAATTTCCATAAATTTGCAGTCACAACTCCAGAACAGCTTACATACAGCTCCCTCAGACAAACCAAACATATACATTATACACATCTTCAGGTAAAATTAGAGAATCAAATCATTGCAAAAATAAATGTGTCTGATATAAAATTGTTCTCAATCTATCCAGAAGGTTGATGAAATGCTGTGGTTAGGCCATATCAATATCCTCTCAACTTATCAAGATTTTTTTTTTGTTTTGTTTTTTACTCGACATTTCTGCTTCTATTGTTATTGCACCATTTCTTTTCTTATTAATTGCTGTACTTGAGTGAATTAGCTGCTCACAGATCCAACACATTTCAGGAAAACATGCTGTTGTCTTTCTAACATGACGAAAACAAATCAATTGGTTTTCACTCTGAGCTGCTGGTAACAAAACAAAAGACAAAGCAAGATTCTTCCACTTCCTCTAAAACATTTCACTTCTTTCACTCCCAGTTCTTGACAAAGAGTTTTTGTTTGGGCACAGAAAATTCTAAACTTCTTCAGTTGACATCATTACATAAGTTTTTGGCACTCGTTGCTTATTTCCAAAATGTATTTATGTTACACTTGTGTAAGTTATACACAGCTTGAGGAAATTCATGCCTTTTTCAAGGAAAACCTAATAGCAAGATCTGAATTTGAATGGAAACCTAACTGCAATACGACTGCTTGTTTGACAATAAATAAAGAAGTTTCTCTGAATGTTGGGAGGTACTTTTCTGTGTATTGAATCATTCTGTAACAAAATGTTGTGAGTTCATTTTTAAAGTTTTTTTTTTTTTTTTCATTTGTATGTATAGATATCTAGACAAGTCAATGGCCCTAGTTTATACACTGCCGGGCCAAGAAAAATTAGCTTTGATTACAGCACAGATCCACTGTGGCATTGTTTTGATAAGCTTCTGGAATATGACAAGATTTATTTCTATCCAGTTTCACCAAGATCTTACATTTATGATGATAGACTCTGATCGCTGTGCAAAGCCTTCTCCAGCACATCTCAATGGGGTTAAGTCTGGACTCTGTTGTGGCCAATCTATGTGTGAAAATGATGTCTCATGCTCTCTGAACTAGTCTTTCACAATTCAACCCCCATAAATCTATCTTGGAATACGCCCCTTCTGTCAGGGTTGATAGAATAACCTGGTCATTCAGCACATTCAGATAGTCAGCTGACCTCATTCTGTGAGCACATGCTGTTGCTGAATCTGGACCTGACCAACTGCTTAAACTCCAGATCGTAGCACTGCCCCCACAGGCTTGTACAGTGATCATGAGTCATGATGGGTAATCACTTCACTTGTGTCTCTTCTCATTCTGGTGCACCCATCACTCTGGAACTCTGGGTAAATCTGGATTCATCAGACCACACAACCTTCCATTGCTCCAGAGTCCAATCTTTATGGTCCCTAAAAGATTGAAGCGTTTTTTTCCTGTTAATTTCACTGATCAGTGGTTTTCTTAAGGTTATGCAGCTGTTCAGTCCCAATCCCTTGAGTTCCCTTCACATTCTGCATGTGGAAATGTTTTCACTTTCACTATTAAACATAGGCCGGAGTTCTGCTGTTTCTCTTTGAATTGATTTCACCAAAACATTTAAGTGATTGCCGATCACAATCATTCAGGATTTTTTTTCATCAACATGTCTTTCTTGAAGACAATTGGTCCCGATTTTCCTTCCAGGTTTTGATAATGCGTTGGATAGTTAGTTTCAGTAGTTTCTGAAATCTCCTCAGATGTTTTCTCTGCTTGATGCATACCGATGATTTGATCCTTCTCAAACAGACTAACATCTTTCCACAATCACAGGACATGTCTTTAGAAGTGGTTGCTTAAGAAATGAAGTTTAGACAATTCAAACAGGAAAACTCTTCAGCCTCACCTGTGTCACCCAATCGCACGGATTGGATAACACAAGTCATCCACCTGATAGGCTATCGTTCATACACCACAGCCTATTAGCATTGGACCATGCCCAGTCATAGCCAATCATCATGGATCTTTATCCATGATCTTGTATCATGGATAAAGATCCATTTATAAGGATCTTTATCCATGATACCATCTGCTTTCCAGCCGTGCTCAGCCCACTTCCACCCTTTCTCCACTTCTCTGCTCCTGGTTCCTTCAGGCTACCTTCCTTTCTCTGACTTTCAGTGTACAGAAAGTCGGAAGACATCTCAAAACATCATCGCTAATGCTCATTCAAGCTTATCGCAATTCACAGCACCATGTCTTCTGCCTGGGTCCGAGTGCCAAGGAACTTTAATTCATTTAAGTAAATAAAAACTTCCTAATTGCTGTTTTTCTCTGCGTGAGTCTCTCCGGGTTGAAATGAGAAGCAACTCATTGCACCAGTTGGGGTTAAATAACTTATTGCCAGCTGAAACATAAGTTATATGTCTGCTTAGTTATATTCACAAGGTGACTGTTTTTTTTGGCCAGCAGTGTAATTTGGGACTAACACCGAAGGGCTGGAAAAGTATTTGAACTAGAAGTTTCAAATGTTAATACTAAGCCAGCTTTGTGACATAGATTTGCCTAAAATATTGCCTACATCTGTTTGTTTTTTCTTAATTTAAGGTGTTTTTTATGCAACTTGCATAATATATATTATTATCATTCGTATTATCATTGTACTCAAGTTATTTATCCCATTTCCTGACAAAGACATGTTATAAAGTCAAATAAACTAACAGAAAAGCTGTGTTGGGAAAAATCCCTTTGGAAATGCATGGAACAGGTTAATACCATAGACACCAGGATCAGACAGGAAGATCCACATAAAGGGACAGCAGACACTTTCAGCCCAGACTCTCAGAATCAGTGATAGCACAGTTTAGTTTAAAATAATAGGTTTGCATCCGGTTACTGGCACAGGCACACACAGCTGCCATTGTATAGTTCAAAGTTTGAGTAAAAGCAACAAGAAGAAAAAATAGGAAGAACTGCTGTGCAGAGGAAGTAAAAAAGCAGCCATATTGGAAATAGCATAACAGAAGAATGTACTAGAATGTTCTAATATACCAGAACATATACTTGCATTTTTAAAAAGGGTTTCCATGTATGATGTAGCTATCTTTTTTGTAGCAAGCACAGACTTTTTTGAGCATAGGGATCTTACTACATCCAAAAATGAATGTTTTGTCAGTACAGTCTGTGGAATTTAAACACACTTTAAAGTAAACACACTTAATTTTTTAGAATTATTATTAATAAGGAGAGATCAGAGTGGCTTGCAGGAGTCATGCAAAATATTCATGCTGGTAAACAATGTCTTGAAAAGTCATTGTCATTTCTGTTCCTAGAATAGCTGAGCAGAGATGTTCTAATATTGCTGACAACCTGCTGTCTTAAAGTTGATCTTCTTTCACATTCTGGGAGGAGCATGGTCTGCAGGATCGCTGTTCCTCTTCATTTGGAAAGAAAAAGGACACAGAAGTGCTTCTTCATTCATTATGTCTCCAGAAAGTGCTGTTTTCCATAGGATGTTTTTTTATTATTATTATTATTTTAACAGCAAGTCGTGGGGTTCAAGGCAAAATATGCATTTTTTCTAAAATTACTAAGTGGAAAAATATATAATATTTCACCCACTGACCTATTCTCTGGATTTTATTCATTCCTGTGATTGCATTTTCCTGTTTTAAATTGTTTCAATTCATGCCATGCAACATTTGCTGGAGATGAGGAGCAGCTTCAATGCTGAGTTGCAGAGTGGAGACGGCATGGAAAGATATCATAATGTTGGAAAAAGTAAAAATGATCCAGTTAAATCTTAATCCTCAGTGAAAAACTCTTGCTTGTCATGAGAATTTGAATGAGCTACTGCTTGTACCATCTGATTTGTCCATCCAAGTGTCTGTCTTTGGTTGAATTCTGTCAAAGTTGGTGAAAATGGACAGCATTAGGACTTTAGGGACGTGTCAAGAAGACATTCAAAATGCATTGCAAGATTGGAGAAATGGCTTGAATTTTCTGAAATCTACTAGACTTCAGTGTTTTCTTCAGGTCCGGTAGCTGAGTACAGATCAGTGTGAGAGGAGCAGCAGAAAGCTTAGTTCAGCTTTTATCGTCCTCAGTAGAGCTGAACTGATCTAACAGATAGAGAAACCAAAAGATATGATTGGAGTTTCTTCAAACAAAATATGTAATCTGTAAAGCAATAATTATATGGAGCTGTGGAAATAGTGACCTCCAGACTCAACTCTCGTGATAGTCATTTGTGAAGCTTCTTCTGTGCTTCGTTTGCTTCAAAAGTGGTGGAAGGATTTGAGGGGCTCATACCTCTTTTTTGTAGAATATAATAATGGAAGTGGTGAGGAAGTAAAACTCTGTTTTTTCCTCTTGATCATTTTTCAGTTTCTGCACTGAAAATATTAGGGAAAAAGTCGAACAGCAGCACATGAGATATTTACTGTTGTCCTCTTCATGATGGGAAAGTGTTGGTTGAGTTAGAAGCTCAGCACTGCAAGGAAAGATGAGAAAATCAGTCAGCATCCAAAGATTATGAGCAATAATGCTTGATCCTTCAAACACCAGACTATGGTTCACATTGCCATTTTTGCAGATGGGTAATCAATGAGAGTTCAAAAGTCTAATAGTTAATATGTTTTTTATAAATGATTTAATACATCTTATTGTTTATTTGATTTTTTTTTACACAGAATGAATACCATCCAGATCTGGTGTAAAGAAGGGTCAGGTCAGATCACCAGTGATGATGCAGGTGGGTAAAATAATGTGTTGGTTTGTTTTTACTAACATGGTGACTTAAAAGTGGTTGAGTTAGCAGCACCAGCTTCAATTGATATAAAACAGATTATGACTTATAACAGCATTTTATTTTAAAAGTTTATCAGGAGCATTGGAAAACAATGTTGCAGCTATTTTCCTAAGGTTACATATCTATTGGAACAAAAAGCACACAGAAGGACAGAAACCAGAATCTCTAATTGGCCTTGAGTCACAGAGAGCAAATGAAACTAAAACGGCTCCGTTCTACATATCAGATTTGGGATGTTTGAAGCAGCTGGTGCAGCCTCCACTAATCAATGTTTCTATGACTCCTTCTAATGCTAAATCCACAGTTAATAACAGGCAAGATGGCCAACTGTCATTTAGACCAGAGAGACAAAAAGCAGGGGATTTAGGAGAATCAGTGAGCAACACTGCAATTATTTTATCCACCCTCACATAAAGACGTTTACTGTTTTATTTCCTCGGCTGTTAAACTAACACCCAGTATGAAACCAGATAACATGCAAGTCTTTTTGCCAAAAGCATCAATACTAAATTAAATTTGTTTGCTTGCTATATACAGATGTAGACAAATTTACTGCCATGCCTGATAAAGATGCATGAAAAAGCATAAAAAATGAAATATTTTATTTAGAATCTTTTATTGCAGCGGCATAATCTCAACTCCAAAGAGAAGAATCCAACCTTTTTGAAAGAGTACATTTATTCAGTGGTGACAATAATCCTATTTTAACAAATGATTCAGTAATACTTTGTGAAACGTCCTTTTTCAAACAGGAGAAGTAACACTTTTACAGAGTGAGGAGTCTCTGTAGTTCAGGTTCCTCCTCCTCAGATTGCCTTGTGTTTGAATGTTGCTCTAAATGAACTCGCCTTGCCTTTACATAAATAAGCATGCCTTTTTGAAATTTTTTTTCTTTTTATTTAAGTGATTCTAAATGTAGTTAACTACTTGTAAATGAAGCAGAACTTACTTTAGCTGCAAAATAAAAGATTGTAACTGTTGAAGCATTCACTTATGTTCTATTGTTCTTGTGTGTGTTCCAGAATAACAATTAATAAGCAAGTAGGTCATGTAACATTTTTAAGGGATTCAGTGTTTTCTAGAGAAAGTAAAACTAATTTCTATCCTCTTGGTCTTTTTTTCAGTTTCTACACTGAAAATATGAGAATAAATATCAAAAAATTGGTTTCAACCAAATGTTAAAACCAATTATTTCTGAACATGGATCCCCTCCCAACTACTTCCCTTCCTTCAATAAATGTAATTAAAAGTTGGAATCTTCTATTATGCAATTACAGCAAAATATAAATTTATTTTAAGGCTGTTTCACATCTTTATCGACATCTACTTTATTCACTAACAGTCTTTCAGTTTTACATTCCTTTGTATGGATGATCAAATTAAATACAAGCCACAAGTCAGTGGCTGGAAGGCTTCAAAGATGCTGCTGGCAAAGAGTCCATTGTGATATTTACAATGCTAAAAATTATAGAAAAGACATTTTTACTTTACCACAGGCATTCAGCTTTCAAATAATTCCCTTAAGTTTGTGCAAGATTGCAAGAAAGAAAATTGATTTCTCTTAATATGGAGTTTCCAATATAAAAGTTCTGTGCGTGTGTTCTGTGTGTCAGTACAGTAAAATTAAAGACATTAGTACGACACTCCCACAGCAAACCCAGCATGCAAGTACACTATAAACAAAGCTTGATTATGACACAAATTACGTCTGGTTAACCCACAACAAGAATTCAAATGCAGAAGTCATTGAGGAGGCTGCTCAGTTCTCTGATATAACAAATAGCAATTGTCAATAAAGTTCAATCTATAAAATTGTTAGATTGTCAGAGTTCAATTTTTAAACCAGAGGACTGCAGCCAACCAGGACCAGGTTGAAGACTAGAAAATAAATAAATAAATAAATAAATAAACAAACAGTAGTGAACCTCTGTTGGTGTTTCCCACAATTCCTGTTCAGACCTCACAGACGGTTTTAGCTTCATCACATCAGTGATCATTAATTTGATTTTGTTGCAGTTAGTGTTTGCTCACATAATATTCTGCAATCAATCACCCTGCACCTGTGTGAGATGGAAAAAGCTGGAAGTGGAGTTTGGAAAGGCTGTTTGGCCCTGATGTGGAACAAACAGAGGCTGTCGGAAAGGAAAAGACTATGAAACATAAAACAAAATGAACGGAAAAGAAAGTGTTACACCGATACACAACCACAAACACGGGGTGAGGACAAACAACAAAATCAGTGCACAATATAACTGTGGAGTTCACATTCTTACATGATGAAGGGAATTTTCCTTTGTTTCTTTCTGTCCTCCATCATTTCATCACACTTTTCTGTCTTGCCCAGAACTTTTCCTTCTCCATCTCCTCTCTTCGATGTTGCTCAGTTGATAGACTACTCAGAACACATCATTTAAAGCACTTACACCTCGTTACCTCTTCAATAACATTTCACTCTATTTTTGTCATCAGCTTATTTTCTTTTCCTGTCTCCTCCTCAGTTAAATCCCCTTTTAAATCAGTTTTTTTTATTTATATGCAAAAAGTAGTTCATTTAGCCATTGTATGTAATTGCACTATGTGCATAAAAGGCTGGTGTCTCACAAAAGTGATCTTCTATTATTTGGGATGTGAAGGCAAGGGGATGTCACAAGGAGCAAGGAGCCAGGATACATAGTTGAATAGTGAATGTAAAATAGCATTTTGGAGCGAGGTGACCAGAGCATGTGGTAGAAACATGCACAAAAGAGTTCATTTCTTCTTTGCCACTCTTTTTTCTATACATACAATGTATAAAGTTGAAAAACATTGCAGAAAGGAATCACAAGGAAAGTAGTGGAAAATAGATACCTGAGTTGTCAATGAATAAAAAAAAGAAACAGTGTAATGGAAAGAAGCTCAACAAACCATAATGTCAAACGAAAACATTTCATAATTTCAGATATTTGTCTTCTTAGTTAAATTCTGTCTCTTATACATACTCACTTCTGGAACATGAATTCAAAGTTAAATTACAATTGTGGCAAAATAGTAGTGAACAGTCATACACTCATAGAGTGTTTTCTGCATTAAAATAATTAAAAATGTATTTTTTCTTACAGATGTTTTTAGCTTCTGAACTCACTGCAGTTTAAGTGACACCAAAGACACCAGGGCATTGCAGACCTACAGTTAGAATGATGTGTCCAAACTATGAATCCAGAAACTTTGGTGAGAAGCAGTCTTGGAAAGAGAGAGTTTTCTTTTTTTACTTGCAGCAGAGGAGTTGAGATAAAAAATTGTTTTTTTCAGCTTCACTGAATTAGTTCAACTTCTGCTTCTACTTGCATATCTGAAAAATACATAGCTTTCTCAACATCTCTTGAATAGAAAAGCAAATAAAAATGAAGTATCTCAACTTCTATAACAAAGCAGCTTCATAGCAGTTACTAGAAATGGCTCCCCTTCCCTTCCTGAAAAAATAATCTGTCCCTCCCTCACCCATCCCAATTACAGTAGAGAGGTTCATCTGTTTCCACCAACATGCATCGTTTCAGCCCCTTCTGTTTCCTCCTGCTACCTCCTGCATTCACTGAGATAAAGATAGCTTTATTCTGCATGCCAACATATGCTATATGTATGTGTCCAGACGCACACACTCTTACAGCAGTCTAAATGTTTTATATACATTGCTTATGTTTTAAACTAAAATGCCAATCTTTCTTATGTTATTATTCACATATCTGTACTTGCTGCTTGCGTTGGAAGACCATGCAAATCGTCTACATATTTACAGTTTTATGACACGCAGGACCCTCAGGTGAAGTGACTGATGCAGTATTAAGGAACATTTGAACATAAAGAGACAATGAAGAGTGGGAATTGTACATGTCTGTCTATAACATACAATGAATATAAAAAAGTAACTTTTTCTCGCACAATTTCTCCTATTTAATCATATGATGCAACTGGCTGTGATGTTATTTTAATGAATGCATGTAGCATTAGGGGGTTCCTGTTTCCTCTTGGAGTTACATGTTTTGTAATTGAATACTTATTTGTCAAACAGTGTTGAATTAGTGGCCCTTTAACTTTTAACTGTCCTCTGAAACAGAGTCTGTAGTTTTTTGGTTGTATCATATGAACTCATTTTCTTCACAAGTTGAAATTAAATTGTAGATGTTGCTCAGTACGCAGCTATAACTGGGATTTCAAGATCTGGATATTAAATGCATTTAATGAAAGCTCAGCCTTAATATATTCAAGCTCTGCATTCATCAAATCATCCTAAACTGTGTTCTCAGGTGTCAATAAGGAAGAAAAATGTATTTTTTTAAACTATGTTTTTATTTAATTGTAATATATATATATATATATATATATATATATATATATATATATATATATATATATATATATATATATATATATATATATATATATATATATATATATATATATATATATATAATTTCCAGTAAACACGGATCCCTACCTTAATAAAATCTATTCAGTCATAAGAAATCAAATGTTTGATTTAATAAAACCTTATTTTCTCTCTCCCAGAACAAAATAAGAGCATGAGTGATGAATGTAAGACCAGGAGTCGGGGCAGCTCAGCTTCCCTCCGTCACTATTACTTCATGGCCTGTTGCAGAATTTCTGCACAACAATCTCATATAAAAAGCGAAACCTTTAGAAGTCTT